CTTTACCTCAACATATGTCTCTGTCTGAAGACACTAGTGAATTAGTGTATTGCTTGCTTTCTGTTCTTCTTCCTTAAATCTCTCTTTGCATGCAGATTGCTCTAAACTACCAGTTGAGTTTCCAACATGACTAATGACTAATGGACTCTCCTTAGTTTTTTGAGGTTGTAAAGTTACAACATTGTAGCCTTCTAAGCCAGGGGTTAATTGCCAGTAATAAGAGAGGATCTTTATTGATGCTGCCTTAGGCTTCCCAATCCATCACATCAGGCTCTGCTGTTGATGAATGTGAGGTGTCAGGAATCATGCTTGAGGCAAAATTGGAATTGACAGTCTCAAGCCTGACTGAGGTTTTTTAGCTGAAATGCCATGAAAGGTATCAGCCATCAGTAATATTCCATATAGAATCATACAGTTCATCTAGTGCATAAGTGTGTATGAGCAACATACATTGATCCCCCTAACCTGAAGTAAATTCTTTCTAGCAGCCACACATCAAACCTCAGACACACTCACCGAGGAACCTACCCTTGCAGTGAACCCCGCAGCCAACTCTGTCCAAACATCTATACAAGTGACACCATCACAGGACCTAACCACATAAGCCACCACATCCGAGGCTCATACAACTGCACGTCCTCTAATGTGATATATGCCAGCCGGTGCCTGCAATGCCCCTCTGTATATTGGCCAAACTGGACAGTCTCTACAACAAAAGATTAATGGACAGAAATCGGATATTTGAAATGGTCACACACATAAACCTGTAGGGGAAGATTTTAACCTACCTGGGCTCTCATTAATGGACTTAAAAGTAGCCATTCTTCTACAAAATAATTTCACAAGTCAACTACAGAGAGAGAGTGAGGAATTGACTTTCATATGCAAATTTGACACGTCTCACTTGGTTTGAATAAAGACTTGAACTAGTTAACATATTATAACACCAGCTTTCCTCACATTCAACACCTTCTTGACATAGAAAGCTAAGTATGGGACATTTCCAGCTCACTCAATTATCCTTAACACCAGGACTACAATTGACAGGTATTTTTTCCTTTCCTCTCTCTCTTCTTATTCTGAGGTCTCCCCTTTTTTCCACTCAAGATCATCTCACCTGAAGAAGTGGGTTTTGCCCACGAAAACTCATGATACTATTCATAGATTTTTGTTAGTCTCTAAGGTGCCACAGTACTACATATTTTTTTAAAGTTGTTTTTATTGATCCTAGTAGTTCCTGATGTAACAAGCTTTTTAGTCTAAATGGAGTGTCTCCTTTTTGAGTGCCATAGGAGCCTAATCTCTCCATCTTTGTAGAACATAGCTCTCTCTTTCTCTCTCTCTCTCTTTCTTTTACTTCCTCTGATGGACTTGAGAAAATGTTGAGTGAAATTCATGCATTGGAGGACAACTGAAATGGCTCACTGGCAAGGAAGCAGGAATTTAACTTCTCATTTAGAAAGAATAGCTGCCTTTGTATATTGTGAAAATCTTATCTTCTCAGGCTGGTGTACCCCTCAGCATTTGCATGTCCAGCCCTTGCAGCCTGGAAGGAGGAAGTTTTTTGCTGCTTAATGGAAGTGAGCAGTTAGGGGGGGAGGGGGGGGTGACTTTAAGGTAAATGCTTTAGATCACTGCTGTCAGGCCCACAGGCCACGTACAGTTCAGAGCAACTACACTTTGGGCTCTACAAATGGCCTAGTTAAGACTATCACACTAGGCTTGGTTCTAATGTGTTCATATGAATGGGCTTTTTCCAGAGGCAAAAGTCCCCCAGAGCCTCCTCTCTGTTTTGAAATCAAGGTTCCACTTTCTACTATATTTCCACACCTGCAGCATTTTCCAGTAACTCTCTTTGCATAATTAATTCTCCTGGGTAGCTTTGACAACTCAGCACTCTCCCCTCTCCACCCGCACCATAGCTGTTTTAGATGAGTCTTGTGAAGAATCAGCTGCTGTCTGATGATGGACTAACAGATTTCAGCAGAAGCGACGAGGAGTCCTGTGGCACCTTATAGACTAACTGAAGTATAGGAGCATAAGCTTTCGTGGGCAAAGACCCACTTCGACGAAGTGCATCTGACGAAGTGGGTCTTTGCCCACGAAAAGCTTATGCTCCTACACTTCAGTTAGTCTATAAGGTGCCACAGGACTCCTCGTCGCTTCTGCTGAAATCTGTTAGTCCATCATCAGATTTCAGAGTGGCCACAGAAAGCCACCTAGGTTTTCATCAGTATGCTGCAAATCATAATTTGCGGTCAAACATGAGCAGGCAAATCTGCCCACTTTTAGGTATGAACTACTAAAACATAGGATCTTGACCCATGTCTGTTAAACATTTCTGTATCCTGATGCCTTTGGTGAAATCTAGTCCTTTTTAGTGCAGTTTTTTTTTTTACAAGGGGTTATTAATCTTTAGCCCAGTGTCTCTAAAATGTTCCTTAGTCATCAGAGTGACAGTTTTTAGCAAACCAAACAGCTTGATTTTCCACTCATTTGCACCTTGTGTTGTCCTTTATATGTGTGCAAATTAAGGGTACATTGCAACTGCTCATTAGGTAGTGCATGTCAGCTAATAGGGCTTAGTATAAGACCTTGTGTGGGTGGGATAGGGGAGCCAGATTGTCTTGCCATGGTGTTTCTTACTCAATTTTTTGAAGCATCTGGTGCAGTCCTAGACAGTATAAAGGACTAGGTGCACCCTAGTTCTCAGCTGGCAACCCCTCTGTCCCTAAGGGTGTCTGTTGCCCTAAAATTCTGCAGACCAATATTTGTATTTAGTATTATTGATTTTAAGTGTTTAGTTTTAGGCAAATTCTATCTTCTTTGTTTTTGTTTGTATAATCCCAAACTTTTATCTCCGAGGGGTTATATCTGTTTTCATCTAAAGCTAGGAATCCTGATTATCGGGCTATAAAAGGGCTGAGGCTCTCAGACACTTCTGGCCACCAGGAGTCTCTAGTTCCACCAGGTGCACTGGGCTGGGGCAGAGGGTACAGATTAAGCAACATGGAATGAGAAAGATTGGGTAGAGTTTAGGGATGTCACCATCACTCTTAACAGGTGATGCTTATCAGTTCTGGTTAACTGGTGGGGGCTGGAGTGGCTCTGCGCCCATTACAGGTAGGGGCCTGCTACAGCCCCAAGGGGCCCATCATGGACAGAAGGAACTCTGGCCCCCAGAGCAGCCCCTGTCCACAACAAGCCCAGGTGTGTCACTAGTGGAAGGGGGAAATACTCCTGTCTGACTGCAGTGGGTGGGTTGGGGGCTGCTCCAGCCCCCCAGACATCCCCATTAATCAATTAAACATCACCTTTAACTGGTTAACCTATTAAATGGGATTTTACTTCCTTAGTAGGGTGCACACCATTCCTGTTGTGGTTCTGTGGCAGGCAAAAAGATCTTGCCCCATCTGGCTAGTTGGAATCACTTGTGTAACTCTGTGTCCTATAATCTATTCTGTAACAGCTGAGGGAGATTTTCAAATAGTTTAAGGCACTAGGTGGCTGTGCTTTTGGAGTGGGAGGGTCTGAGTTTTGCCACTGGTAAGTTTTGAGCAGTTGTGGCACAGGGATAACTGTGGAGTTCTAGTATTTTAATTTCTGTATGCAAAACTGAAAATAAGATGCTATGGTCAAACAGTTGGCTCCAAGAGACTGTGCCAGTGCCTGAGAAAGCTTACAGTGACCTATAGAGCTTTGACTGGTTTTGTGCAATCAGCTGAGAATGTTACTTTTTGGTAGTAACATTTGATAGTGTTTTAAATATTGGTCTTTGAATCAGTGCAGCAGTTGTTGTTGGATCTAATGCTCCAGCTGGAAAGGGAATGGATAGCCTTTGCGCTGGCACTAGAAACAAAAGTACACACAAGTATGGAAACCAGCTGTGTCCATTTGCTAAACAACAGTCACAGAGGAAGGATAGACACACCTTCCAGTTCAGCTTTTCATTTCTGTGGCCGCATAGCTAGGTGTGAGAGTGAAAGATCAGCTGAAGGTACATAGGGGATAGGGAGAGAGGAGGAAGAGTATATGTCATGGAGATGTGCAATGCTCCATCATATTATTTAGAGAAATATTTCATGAACTTTAACATGGACCCAGATTTTTAAAACACAATATTTAAAAAAGGGAAATAGCACTGTTATAGCTGAATCACAGGCATCTAGGTCCTGTGCTGCCTGTACTGTCCGCAAATCAGAAAAAAAACCAAGTAACCAGTAGAAGCAAGATCCAAATGACATGAGTGCAAGGACTCCATGACTGTCATAAATAGCTGCAGCTCAATAGTGATCCAGGGCAGGTTATCTCCCCAGAAAAATATTACTTTTCCTCTTAGGCTCAAAAAACTGAAGCAAAAACTCATCAAAGGGGGACTTGAAAATTCATCCAGGAACTGCCTGAATTTGATTTATGGTTTATTTATCCTGTAGAGCTGGGAAAGGTAATGAACCAGAGTTTTGATCTCTATGGGCTTTCACAGCAGAGAGGAGACCAAAAAAGGTTTAACTATTTCTGATAAACACACACGTCTTCCCTCTTCCAGAACTCTGGCTGTAAGATAGCAGAGGACACCAGAGAACACTGGTTCACAGGGTCCACAAACCCATTCCATGCTGGTTTGTGGTGCTTGCATTTACTCATGGTGGCAGTGTGGGCTGTTGGCATTTGATGTGTAGCCATATCCTACAGATATGGCTTGTAGGATGTGGGTCACTGAAAATGAGATGCTACCATAAAATTAGAGGCAGGTGCTGACCCCATCTCAATTTCTCAAAGACACCCCCCCCCCAAGTTACTGGCAGGCCAGCTGCAGATATCATGTGTCTGAAGGAGGCCTTGCTCCCCATGGAACTGGGATGTGCTAAGTTCCTGACTGTATCTCTAGCACTTGTAAAGAGAAGCGGGGAGGGGATTAACAGGTTGGTGAGAGGCATGTAAGGAGCTTGTTTTACCACTGAGCAGAAAACCCCATTTGGAAAGGAATTAAATGGAAAAACCTTTCAGTTCTCGGAAAAGCTGCTATAGTTCTTTTTGGTAGGGAAGGTCAGTTGCCCGGCCTGGGCAGAAAGGTCCAGCGATGATGTCTTTGGGTGCAGGGTCCTCCTTAAGTGCATCGGGCTGGAGCTGATTCGGTGTGAATAGAGAGCTAGCACGTCGGGGCCCAGGGCATTTGCTTCTAACTGGGTCATCTCTGGGGCGACTCCCTGCTCAGTCTTGCCGCCTGGATGGTTTGGCGAAGGCTGTGAGCTGTGCCGCTTGGACGGAGGCGGGCTGTAGTTCTGGAATCTCACTGTTTTCACTTGCTGAAATGAGACCAGAGTCAAGAGTTACTTCCGCAGAACAGGGCTGGCCCGACTATATTGGTGGACTAAGTGGTCACCTAAGGTATCAGGCTTTAAATGGGGGCCAAATTAGACAGAAATTACTTTTTTTCTCTATTTAAGAAAATATGAATGTTGCATTTCTTATAAACAAAAGCACCAAATATTGTACTTGTGAAACTTTGTCAGAAGCTGAGTTATATTATTTATTTCACATTGCAGAGCATAGCTGTGAATGTAAAGACAGTTAAAATGTGTCATTTTGTGAGACTTGAGTGTCTTTTACTGTTACTGTGCAGGAGCCTCCTGGGAAAGTTGTCATCAGGATGGTTTCATTCCTTGAGTAGAGCCATTTCTGCTTATTAGAGAAGTAATTACATGCAAGCAAAGGGAGCCAGCCAGGAGTTTCAGAAATCCTGGCAGGACAAGCCTGAGTTCTAATAGCCAGATTCAAAGCTCCTTACTCATTTCTCATTCAGACCCTCACAGGCTCTTGCCTGGGTTAAGATCTAGGTAAGGATGTGAGGATTTGGCCATAAGGGAGCAGGGGCTTTTGCAGACAAGACTGCACAGTATCTGCGCCTTCTGAATGGTTTCATTCTAACAATAAACTTGGGGTCGGGTTGGGTTGTGGGAGAGGAGGCAAAATCCTGAGAACTTTACTCAGGCATAAATCCCAGCCAATCCCATTGGGAATCCTGGCTGAGTATGAACTCCCTGAAGTAAGACCCTCTTGAGACCTGAACCATGGTGAATAGTGAGCGGAAGCCTAAGGTCAGTCCAAGCAGGATTTTCCAGACTTTCCAGAGTTGGAGGGTAAAAGTGCACCACACACCTTGCAGTGACTCATCCTAACTCTACCTTTTCAGTGCTGTTCCGGGAGGTATCTGGTTTCACTAGGATGGAGGGAGGAGCTGATGGAGGTGGCTTTGGAGCTGGTTCACTTTTTGCTGGGATTTCTTTGGCATCCAGGATCACCGAGCTACATCTAGAAGGAGGTCTGCTTTCAGCTCCCCTGGGCACAAGCAGCAATGAAGCATCATGGGAGGCACTTGACCTGGCTCCTGGGTCTGCTGTGCCACCTCCGGCAGGGGTGCCATGTGGCTGACAGGAGACATGCTGGTATAGCTGAAGTTGCTGGGGCCGCACTGTGAGAGATGGAGTCCGGCTGAGAGAGCCGACAACTTGAGTGAGAGCTCCAGACTGCACGGGCCTCTGGAGTGATCCATCTGGGGGAGGAAGATCATTTTAAACTCAATAGGAGATGAAGGTTAAAAGAAAATAAATAAATAGACACCAAAGGACAAATATGAAAATGTAAAAAGAAGAATCAGAAAAGAGAAACTCTTGTGGTCCATCCCTTCCACCATCTCATGTAGGCTGCTGAGACCATCCTCTGTCCAAGGCTGGGTTGGACTGAATTCCTTCAGCTCTGCAGTGGCCTCTGCATGTTTGGGGCCTACTATAAATAACAACCGACAAGCAGATATGACTCCTTCTGCTCCCTGCAATTCTACAGTGGCGCCCTAAGCAGACTTTGCAAGTAATGGATCAGGCCTTTTATCTGAGAATCTCAGAGCTTAATGACTTCATTTCCCAGGACTCCTTTGTATTTATACAGCACCTAACACAATGGAGCCTCAGTCTGATTGGGATTGCAGCATGCTGGGGCAAGACAAATATTTAAGTACTATGGTACATCTACACAGCACCCTAAACTCAAAATAAGAGATGCAATTTGCACTACATAAATTGCGTTTCTTATTTTGAATCTATTTTGAATAGCTTATTTTGAAATTTGATACACAGTGCCAAATTTCAAAATAACGTGCTATTTTGAGACATCTCTTAACTCTTGTGGAATGAGGGTTACTGGGATGCCAAAATAGCATGCCCATTATTTCAAAATAACAGGCAGCTTGTGTAGACCTGGGGTAGCTATTTCGGGATACCTCTGTTATCCTGAAATAGCCATGCAGTGTAGACGTACCCATAGAGAAACACCATCGTCATCCATTTTCCAAATGTAAAGAAAAGAGGCACAGAGACAATGTGACTTGCACTAGGCAATGCAATGAGTCTGTGATGGAGTTGGGAATCCCCTGCTCTCATCATTGAGCTATACTTCCCTCGTCTTTGTCAGTTCATGTTGGCAGAACTCAATCCATGGAATTTAAAAATAAAAAAAGTCCCTAATTGTTCTGCCTGGCAATGACTAGGACAGGCTTGACTTTCCTTGATCTGCCTGTATGCCTCAGGATCCTTAAAGACTATTTGAGGCTTTGAGCCATGTTAACACATCAAAACCACATTGAATTTCCATGTCAGATCCTTGCATGAACAGGTGAGGCAATGACACATTTCATGCTGATTTGCCACAAAGTTCTACTGCCCCTCCCCCTGACAAATTGAAATAGGTGGGTAGAACCGTAAGGCTCTGATCCTACCTGGTGCTAAGTTATTTCAGCAACATGGTGTGCAACTCTCATTGACTTTACAGATGTGGGCTCTTTTAAAAAAAATATTTTTTATTTTATTTTTGCTAGTCAACTACTGATCCTAAGCATGAGCCCTATAACTGAGCCCTCACTAGCTGGCCTCTCTGCTGTGTGACATCTGTTGTTTGCACATTGCAGCCTATTCTGTTTGAAATTTTACTTTCTAGGTCACACGTGCTTTATTCCTTTTGCAATTTCCCTCCTGCTTGAAAGATTGATTTTAAACAACCACTGTAGGAGAATGAGTCCATTAAGGTAAAACAACTTGTAAGAGAAATCCAATTTTGAAACTAAAAAGGTTGATTGTGTTGTTTGCAAATGAACCTCACCCCCTGCCAGTGACTCTAAATAGCGGTTCAAGCTGAAACTATTGAAAAATACATGACTCAGTTGCTCAAATGTAGCTAGAGATTTATTCCAGGGCAGTCAGTGCTGTCTGAAAGAAACCTTGCCAACTTAGTGGAAAGAATGTGGCATGCTGAGCTCTGCATAAGCCCCTAGAAAAGGTCTTTTTATGTGGTGAACCAGGGTATAACAGGAGGAGGGAGAAAGGATGGTCTTGTGATTAAAGCCGGACTAAGAACAGGAGTTTGATTACCAGCTCTGCTATCAACTTCCCCTATGATGTTATTCACCCTCTGCGTATTTCCCCATCTTTAAAATTAGTGAAATAATACTTTCTCATCTCATGCAGGCTTCCATGAGACCTGATTTGGTGGTATTAGAGGTGAGCTATTAGTTATACCAATAAATAAACCTTACACTTATACAGCATTTTCATCTTGAAGAAATGTTAATATATCCACTGGCTTGAAATGGAGCCACCTCTAGAGCAGAAGGCTATAATCAACCAATAGATACTTATATAACCAATCTAATATATATATTGACCAATATATAGGTGATAAGGGAAGATTAGGGCCAAGGGCATGGGTCAAACAGATACACAGACAAAGAAAGTGACATTTAACCCTGTTTGCACCCAAAAATCTGGTAGCGAGATGTGCAAGTGCTGTCAAATATATCCATGTGATTAAGCTTTTTCACAGAATTTCACCTGAAGTTCTAATCAGTTACCAAATCAGAGGCCATGTTGAAGCTCTTAGAAATATCAAAGCTTTAAATTTTCAAGGAGCCAAATTGATTCTTCTGTAACTCTCATTACTCCAGCCCTAGGGCCTCTGTATTTAAGAGCACCTGCAAACATCACCTCCTCCCACTTTAAGCAGCAATGGAGATCAGTTAATTAATAAGGCGGGTCAAGGAGTGGGAAATGACAGTGCTGTTCTAGTCAGTATATGTTAACCAGGCCATTACATCATCTCTCCTGACAGACCTCCCTCTGCCTTCCGCATTCCATCCACCTGCAGGTTTTATACAAGACTAAGCTCTGGTCTACACCTACAATTTAGGTGAACAGAGCTATGGCCCTCAGGCATTTGAAATATCCATCCCCTGGACTGTCAGAGCTCTGCTGATCCAACCCTGGGGGGAGATGCGGCCAGGTGACAGGAAAGTGTTTCCATTGACCTAGCTACTGTCACTCGGGGAGGCAGAATTCCTACAGCAAGGGGAAAAACTCCTTCCATCACTGCAGGCTGTGTCTATACTACAGGCTGACAACAGCATAGCTACAGCATCATAACTATGCTGCTGTAGTGCCTAGTATGTAGACCAGTGTTTCTCAACGTGGTCTATGAAACCACTTGAAAAACCTGCTCACTGGCTGCTCCGGTGTGTTTATTTACTGGCTCTGCAGCCACGGAGCCTCATAGCTCCTATTGGCTCCAGTTCGGCATTTGCAGGCAAAGGGAAATGATGTGGGCTGAGCTGTCACTTCCCACAGCTCCCCTTGGCTGCAAACGGTGAACTGTAGCCAATGGGAGAAGTAAGGCCCCATGGCTGCGGAGCCAGTAAATAAACACACCAGAGCAACCAGTCTGCAGGTTTCTTAAAGTGGTTTCACAGACCACTTTGAGAAACACGGGTGTAGACATTGTCCCCATAGGCTTCCATCCCAGCTGGATGAAGTCTATAAAGCTGCCAGCTCTAGGAGCTGTAGCATATTATTTATTACCAATATTACCTCATTCCTGAGTTGGAGTGTCTCAATTAAAGGCTCCGAGTACCATTTGCCCATGTGGGAATACACACACTGGCCCATCTCCTCCCTGCTAGGCACCCTCTTGCCAGAACTTACTCTTCCTTGTACTGCCACGTCCTCGTCTCAGTGATGTTTGTCCTGAGATGGCTGGCACAGTTAAGTTTCTCAGTGGTGAGGACAGCGCTGTGGGCATGAAGGCCGACTTCAAAGGCCTGCTTTGCCTTGGGCCACTCTCTGAGATGCTCCCCTGGGAAGAGAGTGAGGCAGTGGATAATGTCCATGTGGCATACAGGGAAGGCATTCTGGATTCAGAGAAACTGGACGACTTCCTGCTTGTACAGATGAAAAAAGGGATGGAGAATGCCAGGGAGGAGAGAGAGAGAGAGAGAGAGTTCATTAAATATAGCTACAGAGAGGCACAATTCAAATCCAAATCTTCAGTCCTGCAGACAGAATGAAGTTTTTTTTATTTGTTTGGGTTTTGTTTTTAGTTTATAAAGGAAAGGAACATTTGCAAAATTGTAGTCAGATCAGAATGTTTAGTTGTGATCTTTCTCCCCTCCCCTCTACCCACCCCCCATTAAAATGTAGCACGTTGGGAAAAAAAAATGGTTATAGATTCCATATAGTTACACTTCCTAGTTCCGTTAGAGCAAGCATTCTCAGCCCTCTTGCTCCCATCAGCACATGCCCACTTTGTGCCTGGGCCTTCTCAGACACAACCTAGAACCCTTTGCAACAGTTCCCATGGTTGCTAAAAGGAAAGGGAGCTTTTAGGTGCCAGTGTTCCACCATAATGCCAGCTGGGGACATGCCAGCGATTGTGGGGTGCTGCAGCATTTTCCCCACTTACTAATGTGTTAGGCAGCACAGAAACCATCAACATCTTGCAGATGCTGTCAGGTGGCTCATGTAAATACTCATCATTAGGTCTGACTCAGCCCATGAAATTGGGGAAGTAAAGCTTTTGTGTTGTACTTAGCTTACCAGGCTCTGAAACTAGCTTGGTGAATTAACCTCTCGCGGTATTCTAGTCTGACTTGTACTTCTCCAAAGGGAAAAGGGACCATTTTCATTTCAGAGGTGTTGTAAAGATTCCATGCAGCAAAAACATGCTGGTTTTGTTCAGTGGCCCATTGTCCTGCACTGAATGAGCTGGTTGAGTGAGTCCACCCGGCTCACGGACATCACACCTTTGGCTCTCCGTACAGCTATCACTGGAAATTACTTAGCAAGCGCAATGGACCTTAATGAAAGGCTGCGGTAGCTTTTACACTGCTTGCCCTTCTGACCCCAGTTACTGAGGTGCTGTTGGAGCCCCATTGGGAGGAGCTGTCATGTCCCATTATTTCTCTCCTTGTCTGCTTTCCTTGGAGAGGGCATGTTGGCTTTTCCTCCTAAATCTGTTAAACTGCCATAAAGGCCTTTGATCTCTCACATCAGTGTGATGCTTAAATAACCCTTCCAAATGCTCTTAATTCAGTGTGAAAGTCGGCCCAGGGTGAAGGCTGCTAACTCCTCAGTGAGAGGAAAGTACAGCTCCTTCTGACTCGTCTATGTCCCTTCCCACAGCTTGCTCGGGTGGCGGAAGAATGATTTATGGTTTAATAATGGTGTGGCGATTCGTCAGAATAACCATGTCTGGTTTTTATGATGAACTGTCCAAAGGAGGATACAGAATTGGCGCTTATGGCTGAGGTGAGTTGAGGGGAGCCAGGCTTTGTACTGGATTGTTTGTTTGCTCTGTTTGTCAGAAGGTGGGGCCATGGTGCTTGCGGAGAAATGAGCCAGAGAGACAAAGAATAATCACTGGCTACCTTTAAATCAGGCAGGATGTTTGGAGGGATAATGCTGGGATCAAAGCAGCGGCAGCATCTTCAGTGTGAATTGAGCAATTTAATATGGTGAAGTAAAAGCAAGAAACAAAAAGGGAGCCTGAGTGTATCTGTCAATGTCAGAGATCACGGGGAGGTAATTAGACCACCCTCAGGGGGACACAATCCGAGTTCCCTGGTAAGTGTTCTCATAGTCCAGACTGAGGAGCAATTCCATAGGGGAACAGTTGATGGCTCCTTTGTCCAAAATGCAAGCACCCCTTCTCGTCCAGGGGCACTGGTTCAGGAGCAGGTCACAGGGCAGTGAGCCCCCTGCAAACCCTTCCTACTCCAACCTCAAGTTGGAAATGTGTCTGAGGCTTTCCAGGACTTTGAGTCTCTGAGGCAGACTAGCTGCACAAGATGTCATGGGCATAGATTAGCCCAGAACTCAGCTTCTGCTATTGCTAAAGCACAGGCTTGGGCAGGAGGAGAAGCTTCTGTTACTGGCTTCTCTGCCCCAACACTGAAGGCAACAAGGGAACATACACCTAGAGTTGATCTGATCTTCCTACAGCAGTGGTCAGTGGTGAGGTATGTGGTGCCTGGCAGGTTTCTGAGATCGGGCACGGTAGCCTCTTGAAACTGGGAAGTTGGGCAGCCTCGCTCGGATTAAGTCCCCAGACCTGATTTTCCCTGTCAAGTGTGCAGAGTTTTTGAACTAGGCATGATGGGCATGTCTACACAGCAGGGCTAAAGCCGAAATAATCTACGCAACTTGAGCTACATCAATTGTGTCGCTTCAGTCGAAATAGCTTACTTTGGCTTTTGGCACTGTCAACACAGCAAGAAGTCTGAGAGAAGGCGCTCTTCCTCCGACTTCCCTTACTCCTCGTACAATGAGGCTACATCCACACTGCAGGCTTCTTGCGCAAAAGGTCTTGCGCAGGAGTGCATCCACACTGCCATGAGCTTTTGTGCAAGAGATGTGCTTTGGAGCAAGAGCATCCATGGCAGTGTGGACGCTCTCTTGCACAAGAAAGCTCTGGTGGCCATTTTAGCCATAGGGGTTTCTCGCGCAAGAAACCTCTGTTGCCCATCCACACTGTCTTCTTGTGCAAGAGCTCTTGCACAAGGGGGCTTATTTCTCATGGGGAGAGGAATAACTCTTGCGCAAGAAGCCCTCTGTTCCGATGATTTACTGGAAATTTACTTGAGCAAGAATGCACGTGCAGTGTAGATGCTCCGCAAGTTTTTGTGCAAGAACATGCGCAAAAAGCCTGTAGTTTAGACGTAGCCTGAGTGTTACAGGGGTCAGACTAAGAAGCCCTCCAGCTTGATATTATTTTGACTTTATGTTGAAATAACTGCTTGTAGTGTAGATGTGAACTATGTTATTTTGGAATAATGTCAGTTATTCCAAAATAACGCTGTAATGTAGACGAACCCAAAGGGTTTAAGCAGCTGGGAAGGACATGTGAACCTTCTAGGCCTGGCTGCCATATCTGAAAAGCGGGGGCAACAGTTGGGGAAACTCTAGTGGATAGAGGGTCTCATCCCCCCATTGCTCTGCACCAATTATGGCTATTTACATCAGTGTAAAATGCTCCTAGATCAGGATAGGAGAGTTTTACTTTGCTTTGTAGTTGGGTAAGTGACTGTGCACAGTGTAGGTCAATGGAGAATCAAGTCCTGTGTTACACTGCTCAGGGGTGGAGGTAGGGTACAGGAAGTTGTATGGTGTTCAGGAATGAGTATGGGGGGAGGAGTGGGGGCTAGCTCTGGGAAGCTGCAGGTTGGGTGATGGAAGAGAAATGCTTCCAGTGTAGCTGCTGTACCCATGCTACTCCTGGTTTTAATGGGGGCAGAGCCATTCAGAACCTGCATCTTGAAGGGGATGGCACTTACCTTAGGCAGCCCTAGCCCCATGCCACTCCCAAAAGAGAGTTGGGGTTCAGGATGACAAACAAGGGAGAGAGAGGCGGATGGAATCAGTAGCGTGGGCCTTGGGGCAGGAAGCAGGGTAGAACCTGGGTCGCCCTTACATTTAAAAGGTGATCTTGAGTGTAAAAAGGTTGGAGACCACTATGCTAGAGCAACCCCATTTGGGGGGAATTAGCACACTGTTAATAAGCTCCAGCCTGCAGTCCAGGCCAGGCAGCAACTGGGTAGTAGCAAGTCTATCAGCCTGGAACCCTCTATTAGCTGAGGGCCATACATAGTTAATAGCTCTGTCTTGCAGTCAGACAGAGCAGTCGGAGCCTGTCTGTCTGAGGCCCCCAATCAGAGCAGGGCACCAATCAGTTAAGGGGTTCTGGCCTATAGGTAGGCAGAGCAACACAGCAGTCTAAGGGAGATTAGTTCTCTGGTAGGAGAGTCAGCAGGCAGGCACCAGATCAGTGCAAGCCTCCTGGCCTAATGGCGAGGAAGCTGCCAGCCCTGAAAGTGGTGGTGTGTGTGTGAGAGGGATGCAGGTCCACCCTCTCCACTGTGTCCCAGCCCTGGGCCCTAACAGTGACAGAGTGGTCCACCACTGGGTCAGCAGGGACACCTGGCCACAACACGCTGATAGGTTTGCAGTCAGAAACACAGCCGAACCCTATTCAGCTTCCCTGGGCTCCTTCCTACACTCACAGTCTCGGGGTACTTGGGTTATGGGGTTGTCATTTGTCTTGCTGGGTAAATGGCTAGTGGCAGTCCCAACAGCTCTGCAGGGTTGCTGGTGTCTGGCAGCTCTGGTAGTTGCTCCAAGTCTCTGGCACTGTAATGGCTTTGATCAGCTTCAAGCTCCAGCAGTGGAGAGAGACATCCTGCTTCTCTGGCAGCTCTCCTCTAACAGAGCTGGCAAGGCTGCCTTTTATATTTCTGGTTCTTGTCCTTCCCCTCTGCGTCCAGCGGGCTGGCTGCCAGTATCCTGGTTCTGCTCACCGGGGGCAGTGACATTTCTCTCTCCATCCATCAGGGAGGGAGACTACACCCCCTCATGATGGGCATCTTTCAGCATAGTACCAAGCACTTTGTAATCCTTTCTATATTTATCATCACAACACCTCTCTGGGAGCGGGGAAGTGCTTATTTACTTGTGTTTTAAGGCTGCGGGTACATGCTTCAGTACTTTCTCCAGTCCAATTTTGAATAATCAAAACCAATAGACTCCCTGCTAACCATCCTGCCCATCTCTGACGCTCAAGGTGCATTTTCACATGCATTATTTCATGTTTCTATTCCTTAGGTCAGTCCAAACACTTCCGCTCCCACCTTCACTCCCTTAACGCACTTGGAGTGACAGGGCTGTTGCATTTGTGAAAAGGGATGTGCCACTTTGATGTGATCAAATATGAGAGGAAAGTTGGTAGGTTTGGAAATAATCCTCACAGTTCCTCAGCTCGTCATCTCTGCATATAGTTCTACTTTACCCCATCACTGCCTTGCTTGTAAGAGAGAAAAGAAGCTGAAGCAACCCACAATGAATGTTTCAGCAATGGAATCTCCACTTAAGAAAAAAGCCTTGATGTTCCTAAAAGATGTTGCCTAGGTACTCATTTGTCCTTGTTTCAGGAGCAACCTAGCTATCTGTGAAAACAGTTTAATCACCTTTCTACTTTGTGTGTTTTGATTGTCTGCTTATCCTGAAGCACTACAGAGGGACTAAGAATGCATATGTGCGGTCTCCCGCAATCTTCCAATGATTACTTTCTCTTGGTTGCTAATGCATATTTATATAACTAGTTCAACACCTTTCAGTGTTTGGTGCAAACTGCTGCTCTGAAGACAATATTTGATTTCAGTAGGGTCTTGAAACAAATATAAAGGGGATTCTTTATCGAGGCCATTGGGTACAGAGAGACACTTGTGGTTCCTGATGGCTCTTCAGTGCCCAAAGTAATCAAGCATGCTGCCTCATGCTACTAACCGGGGTTTCCTTATATCCTGGCATAGACTAAGCAATATTGAAAAGGGTTTCTGAAAACACTACACTGTTGAAATTTCAGATTCAAAAGAGATGAATGAAGGATGTCACCATACTGCTCATCTGTCCATCTCATTTTGATCATACAGCAACTCCTCTGAGAGCACTGATCCATCCTATGAGATTTCATAGGGTATGTTTACACTACAAAGTTAATTCAAAATACAGCTGCTCCCCTAGTTGTGAACAGTCGAGTTATGACCGTTCACACTTACGACCAAAGCTCCCATGGAGCAGTCGTAAAGGCAGTCCCTGAGTTACGACTGCAACCCGCGCTTATGAACACGGTCGCGTGTAACTCAATGGGGTTTGAGTTACAAACAGATCGAGTTACGGCCAAGTGTTTGGTCCATAACTCATTTGTAACTCGGGGAGAGGCTGTAACAACAATTATTTTGAATTACCTTTAATAGCGTCTACACAGGCAAACTGCTATTTTGAAATTAATTCGAAATAGTGGAGCCCTTATTTCAAATTTGGTAAACCTCATTCTACGAGGAGTAATGCCAAATTCGAAATAGCTATACTTAATTCGAAATAGGGGGCCTCCAGCCCTTCCCAGGGAGCCCTGGTGGCCACTCTGGGCACAACCAAGAAAGCTTACTCTCCTCTCCCCCAGCCCCGGAGACATTAAAGGGGTAGGCCCTGGCAACAGTGCCTGTGCCAGCTCCAAGCCTGCCAGCCCAGAGCTAGCAGTGGCCACAAAACATGAGCCAGCAAGCCACTGGCAGCCAGCCCTCCACTGTTCCCCAGGAGCAGTCTGCCAGCTCGCAGGAGCCTGACAGGGGCTAGAGAAGGCGGTCCCCCCAGGGGCAGTCTGCCAGCTCCCAGGAGCCTGCCATAGCCTGGAGAAGGCGGGTGCCTTCCTGGTCTAGGGTTGAGATCATGGACCTTATTCAGATTTGGGGGGAATTCCCCCAATGTCCATGATCTCTGCACTAGATGGAGGAATGCGGCCATCTTTGGCAGGATAGCTGCCAGCCTGACCACCAAAGGCCACATGCAAACCCAGGAGCAGGTTAGCATGAAAGTCAAGTTGGTCTGGCGAGACCCCCAACCCTGAGCCCTGAGCTTCCTCTCCCCCTTCTTCCCCTTGCTTCTCCCTTCCAGCTCCCTCCTCCCAGGTTTCCCCCTCCCCTCTTCCACCCTCTCTCTTCCCCTCTCCCACCTCCTTTCCCCAGTCTCACCAGAGGTTCATCCCCCCCGCCCCAGTTTTGTTCAATAAACCCAGTTTCTATTTTTGAACATACGTGTCTTTTATTTGACATCAGGAAGGGGGACTAGTGAGGGGTTAGTGGAAGGACATGAGGGAGGAATGGAGCCCGAGCCCCTGGTGGGGAGGACCAGGGAGGCTCTCCCTCAGTGTCTCCTGGATCCTGACAGCCCCCTGATGGACCCTCTGGATAGCAGCCTGCAGCAAGTTCAGCTGGGCTGATGGCAACAACCCCCTCGAGATGCACTGGCATGCCCAGGGGCAGCTCTGGCTCCATGTGGCCGAGTGCTGTGGTGTCCCAAGTGCAGGCACTCAGGACACTCCAAGATAGGACTGCTTTTCTGTCCTTCATCGAGATAGACAAACAAGAGGGGAACCCTGAGAACTGTCTGTCCAGGGTGGGGGTAGGGTCCCTTTAAGCATGGAGCTCAGTTAGACTCTGGCAGCAGCCCCCCACACTAAGTCCTAACCTGATGCCTTGCTGGCACTGGTTCCGGCCAGCCTTAACTTTGGTTCAGGGTTCACTCAGTGTGGACATGCTATTTCGAAATAGCAAAATGTGGCAGTCGGTACATAATCTTCAAAGGGAGGTAAAAGCACATACAACACGTGTGGCCAATGGCACAGTACAGAAGGGGATAATGTGAAATGAGATCCTGTTGTTCCAGAGCGGTGGCAGCAGGACATCACTCCATTCATGCACAGTATTGACAGCTTCAATCAGTATTCATAGGAACATCTCACTGCCCTGGAGCCAAGCAATGAGATTCTTGCATTATATCCTCACTATGATGAGCAGGGATCTAGGGGTCATAGTGGGCCACAAACTACAAATGAGTCAACAATGTGACATGATTGCAAAAAAAGCAAACATCATTCTGGGATGCATTAACAGGAGTGTTATGAGGAAGGCATGAGAAGTAATTTTTTCACTCTACTCTGCACTGATTAGGCATCAGCTGGAGTATTATATCCAGTTCTGGGTACCACATTTCAGGAAAGAGGTAGAAAAATTGAAGAAGGTCCAGAGAAGAATAACAAAAATGATTAAAGGCCTAGAAAGCATGAGCTATGAGGGAAGACCAAAATAATTGGTTTGTTTAGTTTGGAAAAGAGAAGACTGGGAGAAGACATGATAACAACTTTCAGAAATCTACAAAAATTAGATTTCCTTAATCTCTGATGATTAAGGAAAAGTTATTCTCCTTAATCTTTGATGATAGGACAAGAAGCAATAGGCTTTAAATGCAATTTGGAAAATTTGGTTTGGATATTAGGAAAAACTTCCTAACTCTCAGGATATTTAAGCGCTGTAATAAATTGGCTATGGAGGCTATGGAATTTCCATCGCTGGAGATACTTAAGAGCAGGTTAGACAGACATCTGTCAGGAATGATCTAGATGATGCTTGGTTCTGCTATGAGGGCAGGGGATTGGACTTGATGACTTCTTAAGGTCCCTTCCAATTTTAGTATTCTATGATTCTATGTCAGATTGCCCAACATATCACCCTCTATAAATATGCTATTTCACGAAAGGAAATCAGACCTGAAAAGGGGGACGACATAGTTGTTGGGGAAGATCCCAACTCTTCCAGTGACCAATGACATCCCCCTGAACCAGCCTTCTTGGTACTTCCCCAAAACACGAACACCTTCTCCCTTCTGCAAATCCAGCTCCTCCGGCCCATGAGCAGTGTAGGAGTGTAGAGCAACGCACCTGGTGGAACACAGGAAGTTAGAGAAGTGTAAACATGCACTGTGGAAAGATAGCCACCCAGCATGCTGTAAGGAGAGCAGATTACACAATGATCCTGTTTCTAATCATTCTGGGAGCTGATGCTGTTGGTTCTATGTGAGCAGAAGTTATTGCCTGAAGCGTCTTCATATGGCACTCACATCGTATATCTGGTTGCTGTCATGAATGTGGAGATGCTTTTCAGGGAGGAAACTGCTTATATCTTAAAGCCAGGGAGGATATGAATAAAAGAAAAGCTACCAGGAATGAGAATGAACCAGCTTTTTTTGACCCAGAACTGTCAGTCCCAGATAAAGGGGCCCAGCAAGTATTGAGGTGGGAGAATGCTGTTTTTGTTCTCAGTGATTACTCCGCTGAAACAACCCTTTAGGGACTGAGTTATGCCTCTGCCAAGGCAGAGTAGCTCTAGAGTGCAGGTAAAGTGCACCATCCAAAAGGCTGTGTCATCTCTGAAAGGCACAATGGGATCAGTACATGGTCAGCCACAGGATTTATTTACCTGGGAGCATGTGGTGCTAAACAGAGTGGGGTTATAATCCCACCTGGACACATGCAAAGAGGCTGTGCGTGCCATAGAATCACTGGACAGAGATCCCCATTTGCTTTGTTTTCCCCGACATTTGCTGTCAAGTTGTGGCTGTTTCCTTTACAAGTGTTTGGGGGCTCCCTGCACTGTCCCTTTTGTGCTTAGCAAACCTGCTCAGAGGGCTGTGTTTAAAAGAGAACAGACACAGGTTCCAATTGTGTAATGATACTGCTTGTTCTCAGCAAGGGGCCTCACGAGATAGAATGGCAAAAAGTAAGGCAAACAAAACATCAAAAATCTGCTCCACCTCTTTTCAATTTTACCCTTTTTCTAGGGCCTCCAGCTTTTTATTTGTCTCCAAGGAGACACATTTTATCTAACTGCACTGGGGTTTTTTTCTCCCAAGTGGGATGTGGACCGTTTTCAAATATCAGTCTGAGTAGCAGATGCTACAACAACTATCATCCCCTCAAAACAAAGTATTCTTAAAAAAAGGAGACTGACAAGGACTTTTTGCTAGTTTTTAAAAGCAATTGTTCTCTGTTGTTCATAACAACCCTTTGTAAGTTTGAAATTGAAATGTCTTTCCTTAATACAAGGAAAAATTCTTTTATACATGTGCAAATGGGGCTAAATTCAGGCCTGCTCTAACTCCCCAGTGGTTTATTTTTTAAATTGCAGCACTGCTCTTAAGCAGTAACTTGCACTTAGGCTAGTTTGTTACTATAGGATGTAAGCAATGAACTGTCCAAATTAGGGACCCAATCATGTTCATACTTAAGGATGACTCTAATTCTTCAAATTATTCCACATGTGCTTAATTTCAACCCCTTGAATACTCCAATTTCAGGTCATTAGAATTACTCGTAGATCTAAAGTAAGACATGTAAATCTTTCATGGATCAGAGCCTGCATATATTACTTCATGCATACATACAATTGGCAAATTTATGCATGAGAATAGTGCAAGATCATGCACCTTATTAAAATATGCTTATTTTTGCACGGTCTGGGTCTAGTTTTCAATATAGAATGCCCCATGAGCAGTAGATTGTGTTCAGTCTGATTTGTTCTTTCAGGGTTGATTATCATGAGAGCTAGGCAGCTGATTCTTGTTCAGTTGACAGACAAACAAAACACTGCAATATATTTATTTGCAAATGCTAACTCTACTTGTATTATTCTTTGAATGGTTTGTTTTAAAAATGAATTAACTTTTATATAGTTTCTTAATAATTAAAATTATTCATTAAATTTAAAGAGAATTTCAGTTTATTTTAAAAAATGGGGTTTAAAATGTAGAAATACATCAGTAATTCAATGGGCACTGGAAAGAGAGAAACAGCAGAAAGGTACAAAAAGACTGCATGTTAAGGTTGTAGTAACTGAAATATGATGAGCATAGTAATGTAAAGTGAACAAAAGCACTCAGAATCTCTGAAAAACCCTTGAGTCCTGACAATTCTATGTCTGTTCGTTTTCTTAAGAGTCAGGCTGTGAGTTCAAGAGTTTGACTAGGACTCAGTGATCTGGTGGATAGAAAGCATAAGAAGAACTAGGAGTACAAAGAATACAAGTTTTGAATCCAGTTTTAGCTACTCGTTGGTGTGTGACCAAGGAAAACTCTTAGTGTCCATTCTGCCTTGGCTCAGGCTGGCTAAACCCTCAGAATCCCACTGAAAATTAGACACCATATATCTGATATGGGCTTCCACAGGTCAAGCTTCCCACCACAAAGGAGACAAAGTGTCAATGTTTATACGTACATATTAGCTGATATGTGCTGTTGAAGATGGGGAAGGGTGACGATGGCAGTTGAGTGCCCCAGGGATCCTGGTGCAGTATAATATGAAGCGCTGACCTACAATGAAAAATGGAAACAAAGTAAGTAGAATAAAACGATCTTGAGACTAGGCTCTGTCAGCTGTTGGAATGGAACCCCACTCTGTGGGGAGTATAAAATGTTCCCACAAACACTTGCCATCAAAGCAAGTCAACAAACGTGTTCTGTTGCTTTATTACCCCCATGGCCTTGAATACCACTGAATGGTTTCTGTAGGGCTAAGGTCGGATGAATTCCAGCCCAGTTCAGTAGAGATTGTTACCATCTTTGCAGTGGATTGTTATTTCAGTTCATTTCTTAGTGGACAGGTTAGCTACATTCCACCCCTTGGTGTACACCACAATACATGCCCACTGACAACCTTGCTCATTTACACTGGTGTCAGTAAGAGGATAATAATCCCCTCATACTTTAAAATGGAGGAGTAGGGTTTTGCCTAGTTTTGGAATTCAATACAGCATCACTTTTTATTCAATTTTGAGTGGAGCTAGTTTGCCCTTACCACTACTGCTGTATGGCACAGAAAAATGCCCAGGTAGATACTTTCCTATTTCTGGCAAGATGCTAAGCTATGGGCTTATTAGCAGGGCTACTCTTGTGTTTGTAGAGATTTTCAGAACACCACTTAAACAGGATAAATGTCATCTAACAGCCATGACTTTCAAATGTTATGTCTGAGCATCAAATCTCCTAAAATCTATATCACTGCTGATCACATAACTATGAGAATCGCTTGAGTGAGGCAGAGTTTACTCTTCTTTCTTCTTTTATTTTTCCCCTCTTTCTTTCTTGATTATTCCTGTATTTGGGCAAGTCTTTGATTCACTTACTGGGACTGATTCTCTACTCCAGGCATGAAACCCATAAGGGAAGAGGAGCTGCTAGGGTTTGGCAAAATGTAATTTAAAATCACAAGTATGATAAGAAGGAGAATGTGACATCTGTCAAATGACTGGTACTGTGCAATTATAGTTTAATTTGCTAAATATCAGCCAAGGGCTTGGTGCTGTATATTACACCAATAAGAAGACAGTCATTGCATCAGGAAATTTGCAGCAATAATAATTCATCATTATTACGTATTAATTGTTATCTGAAATTTATAGGGTGCATATCATTCCAAGGGATCAAAATGCATTTCATGCATATACAAAGCTCCATTGACAGGCAGACACTTCTGAGGTACAAAATGATAACCATGTGGCAAACTAATGCTGTAGAATAGATTGCGAAGTGGAGACTTTCAGAGCTCATAATTCTACAAATGATGCCAATATTTTTGAGGGACACCTCTTTCCAGCTATCTTCCCATGTATCCGTCATTCTAACACCCATTTTACAGTATAGCACGAAAGACATAGCAGCACAGAGTAACTCCCTGAGTACATACCCAGTGGGCTTGTACTGCCTCTTCAGTGCTACCGGTACCTGACCTAGCTATATTAAAGCTAGCACATGTATGTCTATGCAGACTGCAGTTACAGCCTTGATTACAGTGCTGATGTCCTTTCAGTGCAGAGCTAGGCAAGATGTGGCCCTGGAGCTGGATCTGGCCCACCTAACACTTTGATCTGGCCGCTTTCTATTTATTTCCTGCTCCTGGTGCTACCAAATTTCTAGGCGGTGGCTCAGGCAGTAAGATCCTATTTAAATGGCTCACAGCTTCTGTTTGTGGCACTACCGTGGCAGGGGCTGGAGCCATGAGCCCTTTAAATAGCTGCAGCAACCCCAGGCAGCTGCCTGGTAACCTGTTAGCTGTGGGGCTGGGAACTGCAAGCCCTTTGCTGTGTTTTTAATTCACAGCCTCAGGCTCCCTTCTGGGGGAGGCTAGTTCCCAGTTCTGCCTCTTCTGTCCCAGCTGCATCCCTTCATGGGAGGAGATGGCCTGTGACCACATACCATAAATTCATGGCTCCCCTGTGAAAATTATTGCCCACCTCTGCCTTAGTGACTTGCCTACAGACATTCAGAAAGCCTGCACCAGAGCAGGGTTTCTCTGATCCAGATCTAGAACCTTAAACCCTGGACCATCCTTCATCTCCAAACTTAGCCCTGTGTTTTATCAATAAATGGGCCACTGTCTCTTCCCCACAATTCTCCTTGAAGGAAAAAGTCATGGATGAAAGGAATACAAGCCCATTAGTCAGATGGGTTAACCTTTAAAAGCAATTTATGATCTGTTTTCCTCTTTTTTGCAGCTTCTCTGATGTGTCTCTTTGGTGAGCAGAGATGTATTTTTCTTAGCACAAGTCCTGAGTAGTGTTAGGCTCCCTACAGTTTATGGCATTGAAAATATCTCTGGTTCTTCCCTCTGTTTCTATGTACCTTACCTGTCAACATGAGAAATCCTGAGATTGTCATATGCTAAGGAGTGCCGTGGGATTCAACAAGCGTGCTAGAGAGAAGGTCATTAAACTATCGCAGTACTTAGCAGCCCACAGTTTTTCTTGGTGTAAAGCATTTTGTAATCGACATGGGTTAAGGCAGGCATATTCCCACACATCTATTATCTGTAATTCTTGAACTTTCCTCCCTCACACCACCACACAGCAACTAAAAAATGACACACTCTTCCCAGCTATGAATCCCTCAATAGCTGGCTATTAAAGATTATTCAGTAAACAACATAGTAATCCTGTCCTGTCATACATTGCATGGGAGGGTTTTGGATGGTAGAAAATGGGTTTATTAACTGAATAGTTACTATAGCGCGGGGGTGTGGAATCTAAGGCTTGGGGGTCAGATGCGGTCCCTGGGCTTGCCTGGATTCAGCCCCTGAGGCTTGGGACTCCCCCAGCATTGGAGAGCCCACACTGGGACTCCAGCTCCCCATCATCCCATGAGGCTGGAACACCCAAAATCTACAAGCCTGGGCCCGCCTAGGCTCTGGTATGTGAGGGGAGTGTGGGGAGCGTCTTTCTCCTTCTCAGTGAGGGGCCACGTCAGTGAGGGTTTTTTTTCTCTCTCTTTTTTGCAGTCCCTGACTGATTTTTCTCTGGGTCAGCGGTTCCTGACCCAAAAAGGTTCCTCCACAGCTGCTGCCCTGGCTTCTAGACAGCTAGAGATTCCAATCCCGGATATGTTTTATGGGGGCCATATCAAATTCTATGAAATGTTGGCTCCTGTTCATGCTTTGTCCCCAGTCCACTGACTAGACCTGAGTAGGACTTACTATTAGTCTGCTAACTAGGGAAGCCTTGGCCTGGGCATCTCCCCTCCTGGAAACTTCTAGACCAGTGGTGGGCAACCTGCGACCCATGGCCGAATGCAGCCCGTCGGGGTTCTGTGTGTGGCCTAAGAGAAATGTTGTTTACTGTTGCCCATGCGCAGGGTTGCCAGATCCCACTGGTTTCCATCTACATAGGTTTTTTTCCTACTGATATTACTATAGTGAAATGCATGTAAAGGAAAGGCATGTGAAGTGAGGTGCGTACTGATTGCTACGGGAACTGTGCATTCCCTCTGCATCCAAAGCGCTGCTACAATTCAACGGGCACACCCTGCAAATTCTAGGTACTCAAGCACAGTTAGCAAAATGACCCTATCTCGTGAGATTGTCTTGGTTACAACAATCTTGCAGCCCATTGAAATGAAGGAGGGCCACTCATGTAGCCCACTCACTAGCCTCGCTTGACCATCGCTGTTCTAGACCCGAGGCAGAGCAGTTTAAAACCTGAGCTACAGAAATTGTTTTTGATGATCCAAATTGCATTTGATCTGATGAGAATCTGCTTCTGGAAATATGTCAGGGATATATGTTGGTCATCAACCTTGCTGCAGAGTTCTGGTGCCTGGCAACAAATGCTAAAGATGATGAAGTGTTACACCACTACCATCTCCAACAGCCCTAAGCTGGCAAACCAAGGATGAACTGACTCAAGTGGGGCTGCTGCCCATCCTGGATGCCCTGGCCAAGTTGATTGGTCAAGGTACTGATGGCCATCTGACTAAGCATTGTCTGGAGATAGGGTTGAGGTCCCAGTCCCCTTTCACATTCTCAGTACAGAAGCTCAGGCAGATCAGCTGGGGTTGGCCTTGCTGCTGAGAGAGGCTGAGAGAGGCTGTCTTCATGCTTTGGTCTTATGCCTATATTGTGGGGAATTTGGAAATTATAGCTGGGGATGCTCTGCTAGGAATCCAGCTGTGTCTTGAATAGAAAGACTCCAGGTCTCAACTTTAATAAGAGGTCTGTTATACCCTGTGTTCCCCCCCTCACTCCAGGAACTTGCATCTCAGCTATGGAGAGACACCACGCTAGCACCCTCCAACTCCCTCTCTGGTTACAACACCCTACTATTCCAAACTGAGTAGATTTGTGGACCTCAGGGGCCTCCAACAATTTCATGGTCTGAGACTTAGCTCAGGTTCACAGCGTTCCAACTCTGTGCAAGAGCAGCTTTGATTTGGTGGAATCCAATGACATATACCTTCTCTCCTCTGCAGGGTCACTCATCAAATAGCACCCTTGGTGGTTACTGTACTCCATTATCACCAGGAGGTTTTACAGTTTGATCTAATCCATGAACCTCATTCCCCTGTCATCCTCAGCATTCCCTGGCTCATCACTCATGATCCATTCATGGGAGCCAAGCACAGTATGCTTCACATCAAGACTCTACTGTGAACTTTGCTTCCCCAAATCATGTTCTAGATAAGAAGCTGCTATGATCTTTGCCACCTACTTGACAAGTCAGGGACCAAAGAAGGAACACTGAAAATGACTGCTGCCATCTCTGCAACTCCTTAATAGCTTCAGGAATCCTGATGACACATCAGGATTACTGTGATGTTTTTTGAAAAAGAGGGCAAATACATTGCCACTCCATTATGACTGTCCAATTGACCTGCAATCCAGTGCTGATGTCCCCTTTGGCCTTATATATTCCCTCACAGAACTTGAACTCCTAATGCACTGGGAGCACTGCTGCAAGAAACTGGAGAAGGAGCTCCAGTAGGGGCACCAGTCTTCTCTGTAGTGAAGAAGGACAACTCCTTATGCCATTGTGTTGATGCTCAAG